TCTTAAAGTTCCCAAGGTTGAGAAACACTGCTGGCTGGGGAATTCTGGGAGTTGAAGTCCACACCTCTTAAAGTTCCCAAGGTTGAGAGACACTGCTGGCTGGGGAATTCTGGGAGTTGAAGTCCACACCTCTTAAAGTTCCCAAGGTTGAGAAACACTGCTGGCTGGGGAATTCTGGGAGTTGAAGTCCACACCTCTTAAAGTTCCCAAGGTTGAGAAACACTACACTGGACAGTTGAGACTACAAGTCCCACAATCTCTTTGCATTGCTTTTGGTGGCTGGAACTGTTGGTAGTTCTCGCCTTTTTTGACCCCCATGGGCCCCCACCTCCTGTTAATATTTAGTAATGATAATATCTTTAGTGCAAGTTAAATACGAGGTATTATTTTGCATAGGGATTGGTGGGGTTGGCAAGCAAAACACAAAGAAATCCTGAAGGAAATGCCTTCAATTGGATAAATACCTAATTGTCTCTAATAGCCATTTGAGTTTGCTTGCTGGGAGTTTTTTAAAAATGCCAGCACAGCCAAGAATGTTTCATGACCACCCCAAGAAGCTAATTTGTATAAAGATTCAAGGCAAGAATGGAAAGAGTTTGGCTTTAGGCAACGTTGCCCATAAGAATTCAGTGACAAACTTGGCCAGTTCACCCTAATTCACTCTTCCGAATACTAGTTTCTGTCCATAATCCTAATTATTCTTCCAGCATCTCAGATTTCAAGAACCTGAGTGTTATTCCAGGTCAGAACTAGATTGTGCAGCTTTTGGCTCCCAAAATACAGGTAGTCCTCGACTTACAATCACAATTGGGACTGGAACTTCTGTTGCTAAGTGGTGTGGTCGTTAAGTGAGTTGCACCTGATTTTACCACCTTTTTGCCACAGTTGTTAAACGAATCACATGGTCGTTAAGCAAGTCCAACTTCCCCCATTAACTTTGCTTGTTGGAAGCCCCCTCAGAAGATCCCAAATGGCAGTCACATGACCCCGGGATACTGCAGCCATCATAAATGCATGCTGGTTGCCAGTTGCCCGAATTTTGACCACGGGGATGCTGCAATGGTCATAAGTGCGAGGACTGGTTGTAAGTTGCTTTTTTCAACACCGTCATAACTTTGAACAGTTGTTAAATGAATGGTTGTAAGACGAGGACTACCTACATCTCTGGAGATAGTTGCAGTTAGGGTTCACATAGACCTAGCTCTTAATTTGTCTTTTTGAAAAGTTAAAAACAAGCGTTAGTCACCCCAGATAGGAGCCGCTGCATCCCTGAACTGCACCAGTTCGAACAGATGGTCATTCATGCAGCCCTCCAGTGCATGGGGAAGAACCCAGGAGTTTCCTGTGGAAAATGCGCTTGTGAATGTGGGGCGACTTCAACTCCAGAACAAAGCCGGTTTTTCCCCAGAGAATTGAGTTGCTGGGAAGAAGTAAGGTAATCCAGGTTGGATAGTGTTACTTAGGCGGCTGCATAAGTAATACCGTCTGGGGTGGGAGCACATGGGGGAGTTTTCTGGTCCTTGTATTGAAAGATACAGCAGGGGGTGGTGGAGGGACTGAGATTGAATCTCAGGTGAGATTAACCCTTTGTAGGGATTAAATCTTGCACTGGTATGAACAATGCAGCAAGAAGAGCAGCTTGTAAATTGCTGTAAGAATGAAAATCTGGATTTAGACTGCAACGGCTCTGTGAGTAGCAACATCAAGTGCTCTACCAAGACCAGATCTGGATTTATGTATGGAATATTATGGATACGTTCACTAGATGAATATCCCACCTTACATTCGGCCGCTCAAGGCAGCCGATGTAATGCTCACTCCTCCTCTGTTGCACTCAACAGTACCAGGTGCCAAATTCAGCCTAATGGAACAACCTGTGGCTTCAAAGAAAATAAAATCTGGAAAGCACGTTTTCGGGTCCTTAAAGCTGGAAATGTCACATTTAAGATGGTTTCCTGCAGGATAGTTTCAGCAGTCCTAGAAAGCACGCTCCAGGACCAAAGAAAAGGAGTGTGCCAGCGAGACCGTTCCCCCCCCCCCCAAAGAAATGCAAAAGTTGCAGAATTTCCTTATTTGTCCTTTTTCAAATGGTACCTTGTTCTAAATAAACTCATACTTCCTGGTTGAGTGATGTTCCAGAAACAGCCCCTTGGAAGCGGGTCTGCAGGAGGTGGTCCGAAAAGTGAAGCTTGAGTGCACCGCCGTGGCCCGTCTTGACTTTTTGGACCACCTGCTGCAGACGCCCCTGGCCACTTGCCATCCTTCAGAAAGATTGGCTTCTGTGTGCTGGAAACGCTGGAGAAACAAGGTTGCAGATACTTTCCAAGAAACACTGCTGGTTTTCACTGAACGAGGAAGAGGAGAACAGCCCACCAAGGGAGGCTCGGGGTCCCAACTGAGCATCGAGCAATGACAGCCAGTAAGCCACAGCAGGGGACAGGAGGATCCATCATGCGGAGAGTTGAGATCTTGTAGATATACCATCATGAGCCATTTAATAGAATACAGCAGTGTTTCTCAAACCCTGGGGCGAAACGGTATTTTCACGTCTCACACAACCCACAACACGCAACCTCTTTACGGTACATAG